AGGGGCAAGACGAGCCGGCGCACCGTGCTGGCAGCCACGGCCAGCCGCGGCTAGGCACAGCAGCAGCCGCGCCACACCACGGCAGCAGCCGCAGCCGCACCACGCCACAGCAGCAACAGGTGCGGGCTGGGCTTGGGCCAGCTGCGGGCTGGGTGCAGGCCGGGCTCGGGCTTGGCTCATGGATTGGCTCGGGCCATAGGGCCGTGTATAAGGGGAAGGTTGGGAGCAAGTGGGTTGCCATGTGGCACAAGGTGAGGGAGAGAGTGGGAGCAAGTTTGGTCCCCATCTCCAAGTGGTCCTCACCTACTCTCTCATGTATGCTTGGCACTTGTTGATTTATTACTAGTTTGCTTAATAATTTTATTTTAGCTTTAAAATAAAATGAGAAAAATCTCATTGTCCCACATTGATAGGAGAGATTTTCATACTCCATCATTCCCTATAAATACCCAACTTTGGGCATTGGAAATGATGCTTGAATGGGAGTTAAAAAGAGCATTCCATAATATTGGAAAAACTCTTAAACTCATATAACACTCGGGTTTTGGTCGGACCTCGCTAACCCCCAGGTAGTAGACCTTAAAGTTGTGTTCGCCTTTTTGTGGGTGTATACCGTTGGAGGCGCGGCGCTTGACGTGCTCGTAGCTTTCAAGTAAGAGCCCCGGCTTTTGGGCGAAGCTCGCTTCGAGGGTAAGATTCGTTATCTTTTCTTAGTAATTATTTATTTATGCTTTATGATTTTAATTATTGCGAGTGGTTCCTTGGGTCGGGGTTTGTTTCCGCGGTGAGTCGGACTCACCAAACCCCAACAGAGGACGAGTTTTTATCTCGTGAGGGTTTCCAATGATTTTCCCACAACTCACACAATCCAAAATACATCATCAAAAATTACACAATTTAATTTCAAATTTTTTTTTTTTTTTTTGCCCAAGTCAACTCATCGGGATATGAGACAAAAGCAAGATAGGTGAGCAACTTTCTAGAATTACCAATCATACAAATGTACACAAAAAGTTGGGGGTAAAGAGGAAAACCAAGCAAGATTGCACTAACACACTTCCTTAGACCTTTTACTAGCTTATTAGAGCACATTTGGATATTCCACGGTTTTAACAAGCCTCTTTCAATTATAAAATTACAAAATACAAGTCCACCTCCCAAGATGCGCGTAGACACCCCCTAACCACCATTCTATTTCGAGACTTTTACAATACGTGAGTAAAAAAGAGAAAGTGTGGGAGGCAACAACAAATTGACCTCTAAAAATAGAACTTTTTTGGTATTTTTCAGGACTTTTTCTTCTTTGAAAATTTTCTTTTTATTTCTTTTTCAATTAATTTTGTTTTCTTTTTTTTCATTTCAATGCTCTAGCCTCTTTTAACTGAGCAGCACTTTTTTTTATTGATAACTTGTGGCTTATTATGCTACTTATTTCATACTTTACACACATAAACAAGTCTCTAATAAATCTTTGTTTCGGGGAGAGTGGGAAACACATCAAGGGCATATGGGACCGCAAATTATCTCAAACATATCCTACTTCGAGCGAGTTAGACATTATCTTATGCTAGATGTGCAATTGGGCATTCATCGTTTTTATTTCATATACACTAATGCAATCAAGCTTAATAGATTTCTAAATGACTCCAATGTATACACATTTTGTAAAAACTAATTGATCTTCACTCAAGAGTCAAACAAGGAATCACATAAAAATCTTCATTTGAGTTTCATCTTGGGCATTTTTTTATTTTTTTAGTTTTTTAAGTTATCTAATAAAGAAAAGAAAAGGCATGAATATACAAATGTACAACTATGAACGAATTCAAGCATCAAACTAACAATCAACCCCCCCCCCCCTTCATGAATGCATGAAGCTACCTCAAGCTTAGACAAAGTGTTGTCCTCAATGTTTTTATAATCAAAGGGGAGGGATGGAGGGAGGGAGGGAAGGGAACACAATTAATCTCAACAAGTACATCTAATTCAACAACCATAACTACAACAAAAAAACCACTACAATAGAATCTAGCCCCAAGCTAAACTCTTTTACAAGCAACCAATGGATGACAAAAATAATTATAAAATCAATAGCTTGAGAAGGGATGAAGAGAGGAAGAGATATTACTCTATTTGATGCAAAATTCTTCAAAACTTGGTAGAGTATGTTGTGTTTTTCCAATGTAGCAAAAACTCCAAAAATTCTTGTGAATTTGATATTATATGATGTAATCTGGAATGGATTGACAAAGAGTACCTAATTGAGAATCATTTCATAAAGCTCGTTAGTTCAAATCATCATACAATTAAAATCCATGCACATCATTATTCAAAAACAAACAAATAAAAAAAATGAAAAGAATATTTGCCTTTCTTTTCGATCTTTGGCTAGCCCTTAGCTAGTAAGTAATTTGAAAAACTCCTAAGGAGCTTATCATATGCACTTGAGAACATTTCACAAATTGAAACCATAAAAATAAGAAGAAAATTTAAAGAGAATAAAAAAAAGGATATACATTAATCTACAAAGTTTCCTAAAATAAAAATGAAAAGATCTAAAAAAAAAGGTCCTAGATTAAAAAGACGGAAAAATAAAAGTATAACTATTAACAAAACACTTTATTGGAGATTCATTTGGTAAATCAAAAACCATATTTACATCAAATTCACCAAATTGAGTATTGTTGGTTAGAAATTGATCATGCAAATCGATCGTAGAATGAAGTACAAAGAGCCTCATGTGAAGTGAACTTGGGAAGAAAAGAGGAACAAAGGTTTGAAAATGAGACAATAATATCAAGAGTTTTTGATAAAGTGACATGAGGCTCAAAAAAAAGAATGTCCAATTGGTAAAGACTCAACAATCACCTCACTCTCAACTCTATGGTCTTCAAAAGAAGAAATTTCCTCCACTTTGTACCTTTTATCCCAAAATTCATCATGAATATCTAAGCTACTCTTTTTAAATTGATAGTTATCCTCAACACCTCTTGAATAATCATAAATATAATCAAATTGAAGAATGCCATCAACATTATATTTGGACTTTACTAGACTTATATCATTAGTGGAATTCAACAAACAATCACCAACTTTGTCATCATTCATAATTAATGGTACATTAGGCTCATTATACAAATTGATGATATTTGGAAAATTAGGGTCATCAACCAAAGGTTTTTCAAAAAGAGGCTTTTCAAAATTTTCATTTTCATTCGTTTGAACCCTAGAAGCTTCACTATGATGATTCATGGATGTACAATTGCTCTTTATGCCCATTATTTCTTAGAAATCTCTTCACTACCCTCCAAAAAACATTCTAGAGCGAACTCTAAGAAGACTTGGGTTCTTGAGGATGGGAGAAATTTCGAAAATCACATTCGGATGAGGTGTCAACATTATGCACATTAGCCACATCATAAGGAGTTCATGGAATAAAATTGGAAACCAAGAAAGAAATTGAGGAATTTTGACAATTTACATCACCAAAACTCGAAACATTAGAATCCAAAACATTATCACCACATTCTTGAAATGAGCTTGCATCGTTAAAATGGTCATACGTCTCATTATTAGTCATCTCCCAATCATAAGTATTTTTAGTTAGCCACTCAAAAATACTCCAATTTTCAATAATGGTTTTAGACATAAATTGAATTTCGGACATAGATTCAACAACAACTCACATTTCATCATTTAAACCTTCAAAAATTAATTCACAAATTAAATATCCACCTTTAAATGACTATGACCATAATTATAACCAATATAATCATTAACAAACCCTATGGTAATATCTCCAAAATGTTTCATTCTCGTATTGGGAAAGGGAAAAAATTGTCATTTATTTCAATGGAAGAAACCCAAAAATAAAATATAAAAAAGAAGAAAAGGAAGAAAAAAAAATTATATACAAAGACTTAGGCCCTGTTCTGATACGATTATTTTCAATTCAGTTCAGTTTAGTTCGGTTCAGCTCTAATAAGTTCAGTTCAACTCTTAATTTCCTTCTCTTATAAAATATTTAGTTCAGTTTATTTCAGCTCTTAATTTCCTTCTCTTATAAAATATTCAGTTCAGTTCAGCTCTTAATTTCCTTCTCTTATAAAATATTCAGTTCAGTTCAGTTCAGCTCAGCTCAAATCAGTTCAGTTTAGTTCAGTTCAGTGCAGCTCTAATAAGATCAGTATAGTTGGTTCAGTTCAGCTCAGCTCAGTTCAGTCAATGAGAACAGCCCTTAGACTCATCTAATCAATACTTAGCCAATGTCAACCGAAGTCCCCGTCAACGCACCAAAATTTGATAGGTCATCGTCGAGCCTACCAAAGATAAAAACCTAACTTATTGGTCTCTCTAATGGATAGAAAGGACAAGTAAGAGTCGTTCCCAAATAGACTAAGGGAAGCACTAACAAATATCGATTTGTGACAAGTTAAGTCAAGTCTTTTTGGTTATGAGTTATGAAGAAAAAGTACAAACAATAATTAAAAAGGATCTTGGGGAGGTATCCACCAATTAAGTCATATACAAACTATAGTTTAACATACAAAGACATAGCAATTTGGTGATAAATTAGGGGAAGTCATTTTAGACACCCAACTACTCGGTTCAAATTTTATTTTTTTGGACGGGTTTGAAAATGCTATTTTAAGTATTTTTTATTGATATTTTTGGCCCGACCCGAAAATGAAACGAAAAACCCGCACGGACCGGCCATTTTGGATGGTTTTGGGCACAAAATTCCAGTCCAAACTTGAACTTACCCGGTTCGAGAAGTGGATTATGTTTTGACATTGATCCGGCCCGAATGCAACCCGCATCGCCCAGTGATCACCTCTACCTCTCACATTGCAATACATTATTAAGTCAACAAGTTGACCGGCGGCTCCTACTCCACATGATTAATTACATCTTACCTGTTGAAACCTTGCATCCAACGGTAATAATAAGCTAAGCAACTGTTGCACATTTTTCTTTACTCCAACAACAATCAGCAGTTGCAAGAATATTAATTATTAATTAATAACACAAAAACGTCAGCTCAACCCACTTCTGAAAAATTTGGGAAAGTTTTGAAACATTTTAGAAATTAACAACTTTGTTACGACTCCTTAACTCAATGCGTAACTGCCACTCTTGACTTTACCTTCTCCACAAATTAGCTTACAAATTCTGCAATCCAATGGAGCCTTTTAAAGGTAAATCATCTTAATTTTGACCAATTTTTATGTTATTTTGATGATTTAAAACTGCCTGATTATGAGCTTTTTTTGCTGTTAATTATTGTTGCACTAGCTTATGCTCAGAATCAGTAAAGTTGGTTTTTTTTTTTTTTTTTTTTTTTTTTTTTTGTTATGATTTTTCTTGATGTTTCCTAATTAGAATTGTGGATATTGGGTGTTAATAATAGTAATGAATTTTTTTCTGGGTTATGCTTATTTTGGTAATTTGTTTACAAAAATTAGGTATTGAAGCTGAAATTGGAAGACATATGAAAGAAATATGAAGTGGGTTTCGGGAATTTTATTGGACTTTGATAGTGGGCAATTGGGATTTTGATTATCTGGAGAAATGAAGTGGGTATTAGTGATTTTGATTTTAGTTGGTTGTTCATATTTCTGCACAATTTTGGGTTCAAAAAATATAACAAAATGTCCTGTAGATCTAGACTATGTTGTAAAACTCCCTTGGAATACTTCGGCGTGCCATGGAAATAGTTCAGGAAGTAATCCAAGAACCGGTTGTTGTCAAGCCCTTTTGAGTTTAATGGGAATAGCTCTTTCCCATAATCTTAATCAGACTTCTCTCTTTGGATTTCGAGATTATCCGACTTCGGTATCTTGCCTCTCGGATTTCCAATCCAAGCTTGATTCTATGTCTCTAGCCCCAAATTTGACCTTTAAGTGTTTTGATCCTGAGCAATTTGTGATCACTCCTGATGTTTGTGCTGGCATTGTTACCATCCGAAATTGGACTGATGTGCTTAAAAGTGATAATTCTTTAGATCAAGTTTGTGGATCTGACCTCTCTGATCTCACTGCCTGTGAAACCTGCTATGCTGCTGGTACGAGAATCCAAAATCAGTTGATTGCCATTGATGGGAACAGTTCACATGCTCGAGATTGCTTTTACTTCACTATTCTTTATGTTGCTGGGATAATCAATAAATTAGGCCCTGAAAATGCTGGAACAACTTCATGTGTTTTTCAACTTCAATTACTTCCGTCAGCTGGTTCTGATGGTGTGAGACATTTGAAGCTGCATCTGGGATTAATCGGTGCTGCTACTGCAGTGTTTTTAGTAATTTGCCTCTTAGGTTTGTACTTGTGGTATTACAAGAAACAGCAGAAGAAGAAACATAAGATGGAAGTTGACGCAAATCAAGAAAGTAGACCTAGAATGCGGCCTAACACTGGTGCAATATGGTTTAAAATTGAAGACCTTGAGAGGGCGACTAACAACTTCTCACAGAAGAATTTTATTGGGCGTGGTGGTTTTGGGATGGTTTACAAGGGAACCTTACCAGATGGGACAATAGTTGCGGTCAAAAGGCTTACTGAACCCAATTTTGAAAGGGATTCTGATTTTCAAAATGAGGTTGAGATTATAAGCAACCTGAGGCATCGAAATTTGGTACCACTTAAAGGGTGTTGCATGGTTGATGAAACTGTGAATGCTGATGATTATGGTGGAAAACAGAGATATCTTGTTTACGAATACATGCTGAATGGCAATCTTGATGACCATTTGTTTCAGAATCCAACAAACCAAAGTGGGCTACTCAGAAACTCCTTAACATGGCCCCAAAGAAAATGCATAATATTGGATGTGGCAAGGGGGTTAGCTTATCTCCATCATGGAATAAAACCTGCAATATATCATCGGGACATCAAGGCTACAAACATTCTTTTAGATTCTGATATGCGAGCAAGGGTGGCTGATTTTGGATTGGCAAAAGAAATAAAAGAAGGGCATTCTCATCTCACTACCAGAGTAGCAGGCACACATGGCTATTTGGCCCCAGAATATGCACTTTATGGGCAGCTAACTGAAAAGAGTGATGTCTACAGTTTCGGGGTGGTTGTTTTAGAGATAATGTGTGGGAGAAGGGCCCTTGATCTGTCAGCTTTAGGGTCCTCCACCACTGTTTTAATAACAGATTGGGCTTGGTCTTTGGTTAAAGAAGGAAAATCAGAAGAGGTTCTTGACTCATTTTTGTTGAGAGAAGGGGATAACTCGGAGCTGAATCCAAGGGGAATTATGGAACGATTTGTACGTGTTGGTATTCTGTGTGCTCATGTCATGGTCGCACTAAGACCTACAATCTCAGATGCACTGAAAATGCTGGAAGGTGATATTGAAGTTCCTCAAATTCCAGACCGGCCCATGCCTTTTGGGCATCCATCTTTCCACAGGGATGGAAACCCATACAGCATATCGCCAGTCTTGAGTGGGCTGCATTTAAATTCTGGTGAGATGCTTAGGTAATTAAGATATACTTCAGTAGATAAGTATGAGCTCCATTTATCACTTGCTGCAGAGACAAAATTGCGGAGGTAATGCTGCCCGTTCTCATAGTCGATGAACCTTGTACAGAAGAAAAACAAAGACCAAGGTTTTTTTTTTCGAAAAATTGACACACGTCTTGATTGTGTAAAGAAAAGAGGAGCTTATAGTGATTTAACACGTTAGCATATAAAGCTTCATCAATGGTATGTACTGCACCGGAAATGGGAAAAATAAGATTAGTCTGGGAGACAGTTTATTCACATTATTAGCTATCAGTTTCTTGTGATATCTGTCAAACACCGGAAGAATATCTGGGGTATCTTGGACTAGTTAACAACTCATTAGTATTTTTTGACATCCTGTACATATGTGCCATATTTCTCTGCTTTTTTTTAAAAAAAAAAAGAAAGGATTTTTCTCCTTATAAAACGGTATTCAGGGCTTCCATATATGTTATCAGCATGTATGACTCATGATCTGTCAGCATGTATTCAAGGCTTCCATATTAAGCCCAATTTCAACTTCGGAATCAAAGTTATGGGCTTTGAAAAATCAAACTTTTTTGTAGGGATAAAATAGATCGAATGAGTGCTTTGAAAATCAAACTTTTTTGTAGGGGTAGAATCGATAGAATTAGCATTCCGTTTTTACCAAGAAACGATTTAATTATAAATTAAATCGTTTGGGTTGATCAGGATTGTAAACACATGAATCACTATCAGGTATGTATAATTACCATGACATGTAATTATTCAAAAAATAAAGGAAAAATTGTTGGGAATAATCCCACCTTTAGGGCGTCCGCGAAAAATAATCCCACCTTTCGGATTTTTTTAAATAATCCGACCTTTATACCTAATCCGCTCAAAATAGTCCTAACTGGTCATATAACATGTTATAACAAGTTACATGACACATGTCGGTCTGTAATTGGTCAAAAATTAAAAATAAAATAAAATAAAATAATTTTTGAAAAAAAAGGTTAATTTATTTAAAGGAAAAATAAATAAATAAATTGAAACACCCCCCCCACCAGCCCTAGCCACCCTACCCCGCCGCCCCAGACCCCTGCCTCGTGGCTCCGGCCACCCAGGCCCCCAACCCTAGCGCTGGCGCCTGACTCCCCTCCCCTAAACCATCACCCCGCCTCCCTCTCCTACGAAACCCAGGCTGCAATTTCGCCCGATTTCAGCCGCCCAAACCACCATCCCACCTCCTTCCCCCACGAAACCCAAGCACCAATTAACCCACGAAACCCACCTCCCCTCCCTAAACCACCACCCACCTCCCTTTCCAAGCCGATCCGACCTTCCCTTTCCCCACTCTAACCGCGCTGTCGTCCCCCAACCAAGATTCACGCCGTTGGTGGATTTCGATTTTTCGAAGAGGGTATAATATCACCTTTAGGGTTTTGGGGTTGGGCTAGCTGGAGTGGGAGCCTGGTCGTCGTCGACACGGTGGTTTCTGGGTGGCGGTGGTTACGGGGCGGGGTGGGATGGTGGTTCTGGGTCTGGGTTTGGGTGAGGATGGTAGTGGGTGAAGCAGCTTAGGTGGCCATGGTTTTTTACTCTTTTTTTTTTTTTTTTTTTTTGCTTTTTTTGGGATAAATTAAATTATAATACGTGTACATTAATCTTAATAAAAAAAATTTACTTATTCAACCGGTTACAAGTTACTTGGGATCATTTTGAGCGGATTGAGTATAAAGGTGGAATTATTAATAAAAAAAACCCAAATGTGGGATTATTCATCACGGATGCCCTAAAGGTGGGATTATTCCCAGCAATTTTACCAAAAATAAATCAAATCCATGTGGGTGTGAAGAGAGATTATATATGAAATCATAATATCAAAACAAATCCTACATGATAATGATTACATAATTCAAAGACAAGATCAAAGATATTTAACTTTAACTACATAAATAGTAATTGGGTAGAATTCAAGAAAACGAAGGTAGTACAAAGATTAAATACATGTACATAGGACCTAAATATTTACAACATGATTGGCCTCGCATCCAAGCCAATGTCAATATGTGTGAGTGAGGACAAGCTCAATTACCTGGCGCAGTCATTGGCAACTTCATGTTTGACATTACTTGTGCAGTGGAGTTTGTGTACAAATTTAGCTACATGTAAGCAAATATTGAATACATCAGATACTAAGTAGTACATTGTAACCATTCTGTATGAAACAATCTCTCCCTTTTAAACATGTTTCATTTGTTTTCGGTAGCAAGAATTAAAAAAAAAAAAAAATCAATAAAAGTAACACAGGAACAGCAGAAAATTCATACAGATCAATGATAAATAGTTATTGAGGCAACTTTGCAGAAAGTACAACAAAATGACAAAAGTAAGATCATGAATAGAGTAACACAGGAACAGCAGAAAATTCATACAGATCAATGATAAATAGTTATTGAGGCAACTTTGCAGAAAGTACCACAAAATGACAAAAGTAAGATCATGAATAGCCTAAAGGCTAGGGGTGTTCAAAAAGCCCTGACCCGCTGACCCGATAAATTTAACCGGGTATTTTTTCTGTTTTTCCCAAATTTAATGGGCCGGGTACCCAACCCGGAAAAAAGAAGCTTAGCGGGTTGGGTCATAGGCCGATCTTTGTGTTAAGCGGGTACCCGCTGACCCGTTAACATTTTTTTTCTTTGTTAAATACAAGGTTATACGGAGTATATATTGTTATTTGCTAGACAATTAGGTTTTATGTGTACAGCCGCCACACTCTCCTCCCCCCTCTCTCTCTCTCTCCCTCTCCTCCCCCTCTCTCTCCTTCACTGGTCACTCACAGTCACAACTCACGCGCAGTACGCTACCCACCTCCTCTTCTCTTTCTCTCTCTTCTCTTTCACTCACAGACGCAAACAAAACCCAGCAAGAATCATCATCAACCCATTAAGAATCATCATCAACCCAGCGAGAATCGTCATCAACCACCAAGAATCTTGGTGCCTTTGCTATTGCAGTTGAATCCCACCGCAAGAGAAGGAAAAAATTAGGAGAGGGAAGAAGATGGTTGATGATGTTATTTGATGGTTGGTATTGATGAATGATGATATCATGATGTAAAATCAAGGGAGTTAGGGAGTAGCTTAACGAAATCTGGATTTTGTTTTGATTTTTTTATTTATTTATTTTTTTAATTAAATCTTTAATAAAGATCTATTGTTAGTTGTACTTAACTTCTTCTAATTGTGTGTATTTTTTTAATTGTACTTCTAATTGTGTGAGCTCTGTGAAGTTTGGGTAGTATATTTTGGATTATTTATCATTTTTCACATTTTGAGCAAATTATTGTTCTCTCAAATCCGGATACCATATGACCCGACTCGAGAAAAGCGGGTACCCGAAACCCGGGTACCCGGTCTTCTCGGCTCGGGACATGGGCCGAGTATCAAACTACCCGAAGATTCGAGTACCCGGATTTTCAGGTACCCGAAAACCCGGGTATCCAGATTTGAACACTCCTACTAAAGGCTGCAACAAAATATTGACTCCATTGATATATGATGGGATGATGCGATGCTAACATGGGATTGCTTTTCCCACCCGTATTGATGTACTGATATGCACCGGTTTTTTTGTTTACTTTTATGGTACATTCTAAGGCGACTTGTTGAGCAAAATAGCCAAACTATCCATCATTGAGGCTAAAGTTGTATCCCCGTAAGACCATCTTCAATGGTGAGACTCAACTTTGAGTAATGAAATACAAAATGAGTTGTTTTTTACCTCCATGGTGATACCCAACCCACTTCTCAATTTAGCAACTCATGTGAAGTCTAATTTCTCAATGGTGAGACTTTCTAAAGTATACTAATGTCCCTTTCAATTTATGGCCCACCAAATCATATTTTAAGTATTTTTTAGAAAAAAATAAAATTAAAACTCCAAATGAAAGTTGCTAATTTTAGATACCAAGTTATTGATATCCTTTGCAAAAGATACTCTCTCTCTCCTAAAAAAACTCACTCAAGTCTCACTATTGGAGAGGGTCTACGGAGGGAAAGTCACTCGTGGTAACCTCGAGACATAGTGATATGTGAAGATATCGGTGACATTTTAGAAACACCTATGGTCCTGTTGCAAGTCCCTTAGTAAAAGCAATATCATATTATCATTAGTGATATGCATCTAATATGCATTTTTATCTAATTTACAATTTTTATAAGATTTTGGTAAGATTTTTTTATTTATTTTTTTTTTTTGGTTATTACAAAAAATTTAGCATGGAGGAGGAAATTTTTTGTGGATAACTATACGGATTACCGAATAGTCACTTTTGATTCATGTAATTAACCCACTTATGGAATTGAGGCTTTAACTGATTAATTAGGTTCAGAAGCAGTAGCCAAGTTTCATCTATAGTATTCCAACCCCACATTAGTTTATCTCTGACATAGATTAAACGCTCCTAACCTTTATAAAAAAAATACCCCCCCCCCTTAAACAGTCACCAAGTAACTCCGCTTGTAATTAGTAGCATTCAATGTCGTTGTTGGTCTCGCCTGAATAAAAAAGGAGGGTTGCGGTAGGTTTGTGGCAACCACAAACTTAGCCACATCTTATGGACATTAATCAAAATTTGAGTGTCGTGAAGGCATTCCCTATAAGAAACTAAGTGGGTTGGACATAAGGCAAAGTAGCTCCATGGGGGTTATAAGTGTCAAAAGAAATCTTAGGAGAATTCAAAGGAAGCATGCCACCTAGTAAGGACACATCTTGGTGACAAATGCATTTAGGGATTAAGAGCCAACGCTTATGCCATAAAATGTTGGGAAAATAAAGAGGTGATGAGAATTATGAGTTAAACGAAATGCCAGAGCGGAGGTGAATCGAGAAATTTAAGCAAGCTTGGATACGAAGCAAAGGGAAAGAGGCATCTATAGACTAGAAGACACAACACACAAGATACGGGAAAGGTCAAATGTGTTAAGGATATTGACCAAAAGGTTCTTGTTGAAGACAAGTAAATAAAGCACAGATGGAGGTCTTACTTTGATAGCCTATTCATTGGAGATCGAACCCAAGGTAATACAAGTGTCCATCATGATATGGTTAATTGGAAGCATATGAAAATGACTCAAAAGGGAGAAGTCAGAATGTCACTAAAATAGATGGGATTGAAGATAGCATTCCTATTAAGGTTACAGTCCAACTTGGCATTTCCATTAGCCTAAATTTTCTCTCGTCACAAACTTACCTAGGCTTTCTTTTCATCCCAAATTCTCTATCTTCTTCTTTCCATGCCCATGATTGCAATTTGAATTCCAATTTGTTTTCAGATCTGGTATGCATG